AACCGCCGAAACGAAAGCCTAACACTCTAACCACTACACCATAGAGGCAGTCGACTATGGGAATCAAATCCACGACTTCCGAAAAGAAAGCCTAACGCTCTAACCACTAGACTATGGAGGCAGTCGACTATGGGAATCAAATCTACGACATCCGGAAAGAAAACCTAACACTCTAACAACTACCCCATAGAGCCAGTTAACTATGAGAATCGAATCCACGACCTCCGAAACGAGTCTAACATTAACCACTACTCCACATCACGATGTATAAAATCAAATGCTGGCGGCGAAAATCAAAGGTGATATTTTTGCCGCTAAAGTTGCCGCCAAAGGCTTGCGACTTCGCTACGATTACGTATCGTGTACGCAAGGCGACTAATCTTGGTACTTTGTTTATTTAGGTAAGATTTTTTATGGTTTTACACTATTGCTAATTTAAACTATTCTAAAATATTTCTTTAGATGAGTAGATATTATTAGGAAGTAAGAACCTTAATAGGTTCAACGGATATTAATTATTTCAATTTCACCATGTAATAAACCCATACACAGAAAGTTGTCGTGTGTAGATAAGTCAAATTAAGCGTAAGCCTGTTGTTAGAAACGTGTGCACAGCAATAGACGTATGTAAGTTAGTAAAGTACTATTTTTTGCACAAGGTTTAGTCCACTACACTTGCATAGTAAGTACTGGTTGGAGACTTGACATTCTCGCATCTTTGAAGATTTCGGCAATTATCTCCGAAATCCAAGTTTTCTCACGATATTTTCATTTCCAAGCAAGTGATGAAAATTACAATAATTAATTCGTGGTCAACGATCAAAACTAATTTCTTGACGTTTGCCGACCTTCAGGTTGCACCTTTACGATGAAAGTGTCCCAATACAAAATTTCAACTTTTTGGGAATAAAAAAGAAAATAAGATTTCAAGTTGTGACATTTTCATATTATTTTATTTATTACTCTTGAAGTACTAAAGGTGATGGCCTTATTAGTCTTTGAAAATAATGAGGAAAAATGGAACTTTACAACTGAAAATTGTTTCTGATCATTTTAATGTTCAACAATTTAAAAACATAATTTACAAAAGCTAATCGCCAATAGGTCTTTTTTTTAACGATTTTTTTGTTATCATTTAACGTATTAAGAATTAAGTCTTTTTAATGTTCATCAGCTAAGCAAGATGTCATAACCCTTGATATTGTTTTGTGGTCCCTGTTTCACCATTAAAAAAGAAGAAAGTCCACGAAACAAAAAAGTAAGTCCCTTTAAAAAGTAAGTTACTAAAAAAATATATTTTTTTTAAATATTAAGCGACGGGTCGAACAAGTCGTGTACCCGGTGGAAAGCGTCACGCCTGTCCATAACAGTAGCACTGCCGCTCGAAGGCTACTGCTACGGCGTCCATCTCTCTGAGACATAGTTGACAAGTCCCATGTGCCTGTAATTTCACCAGCACCCTTACCCTTCAAAACTGTAACACAGTAAAGTGGCAGTACTACCCTGGACGAACTCACAAGGAGCTCTACTACTAGTGATTTTTGAATATGATTTTCGGAACGAAAATGGCTCAAATGCTAATCCGTCAGTGGCAGCGTGTTGTCTTTGCAAATGCAGATTCAACAATAAATGCGGCGTTAATATTTCGACGCGGGAGTAGAATTTTTAAACTGAAAGAACAAAATGAAAGGGACCTTTATGAATCAGTGCTATTCGAGCTTTAATTGCACAATTTCATCTTCACCACAGTGTGACTAATGTAACAAAATATTTTTTTAAGATGGTTTTACGGTATAAACTCATTTTTTAATTTTTTGATTTGAGTCGCTTTCATTGTAAGGGTGCGAAGTATTAGTCGGATAATTGCGTCATATTGCGTCATGCATTAGAAGAAACATACCGGCTGATTCGCTAGCCGCCATGCGTTAGAACAGTACCGACGGATAGAAAGAGACAAATTTCATTCATTAAAATACAATAGATGAATGCGTATTATTACATATGATATGGTAAAAAGAAACAGAGATAACTTTAAATATGTGTTTTTTAGAGGACATTAGTTTTATTAATGGATATTAAATGGAAATTTGTGTATTTTGTATGATTGAAGATATGAAGTTAACGAAACCATATTACGTTATTATGTACTAAGTTTTAAATAATAGTTTTTTTATAAAGTAGTGTATTTTGGCAAAGTAATCGATAATATTTATTTTTCATTAAATGTTCACACGCATATTACATGAATAAAATAATAATAAATTTAGTAAATTATAACATAGTAATAAGAATATGGATTTAGTACTTTATCATTTACAATAACATGCCTGAATTTCACAATTTTTTCAAGTTACGTAATTTGGTTGTATTATGATACTCAATAGAGATGTGATGTGACTATTTATTTTCGTTAAATGACATCAGCTGATCGAAACTGTTCATGGCGAAATTTCCATAAATAACGTAGTGTGTACTAAAACAACTTTGCTAACTAGTTTCATACCATTAACTGAATCCGACCTTCAAATATGACTACACCTTGCTGTTACACCCTGTATAGTAAAAATCGAAGACATATACTGATTAGTGCACGGTGTGAAAACACGATTTCAAAAAATTTTCACTGTAGAAAAGACACAAACTTTCCTCGAAATTTTACAAGAAAACCGCTATATTTAAGAGGGAGCAGAGGAAAAATTCCTAATCTTCGATTTGATTTTAGAGGGGTATATCCACTTTAAAGTTAAAAATAAAATATTGTATGAGTAACTACACGATATATTCAAGCATAGACATTAATCAGAAACATAAAACAATAAAGTTTCCTCGATAGATAAAATTCACGAAATGACCTCTAATTTTACATTTTTTCGATTCATCCTCGAAATGCTACAGGTTATTAGGACAAAAATTAGATAATTAATTATATTTATGCATGATCGACAACTGTCACTACGGATTTTTTTTTATCCCTTTAGTTTTAGAGTTATTCCGCTAAATCGAATTTGGTACTTTTAATGCGCAAAATTCAACATCTCCTGTCGCATGTCACGCGAACTTCAGGCATACTCGTATATTTGTTTCACAAATTTGGGCGGAGCCAACGCCAAAACTTTTGTGGCATGAGAGCTCTTAATAGTTATTCTAGATATACCATCGATTTTTCCATAGCAACTGAAGTAAAGAGAACACTTATAGAATACGATACTATATACAATTTCCAAATATCTTTAATTTCGTTTCATAAAAAATAAATTCTGAAATAAAGCCGGTGTCCCTGTCCCTCGCCCCGTGCAATAGAACCGATTGAGAACGGGAAAAAATAAGTTACAGCTAGTCGACTCTATCTTAAATGAATTCATGAGTTTTTGAAGATATAAACTGTCAAAAATATATTTCTCGTATTATTGTTATATCTATCACTATTTTCCATAAAAAAAAATTGCTATTTCGTAACATTACTTCTTATATAAATTTTTTAAAATTTCTTTAAACTAATCACTCACAAATTTGGAATATGTGATTCCGAGTTTTTATGGGTTACGGTTAAAACCACCGTTTATTTTGTTGGAAATTGCGAAATGTGGTAGAAATTGCTAAATTGATAATCTTGCCGATTAGCTGCAAGGTTTCCCTATGTGTTTCCAACTTTCATCATATCCGCCACTGCACTCGATGGCAAGCCTAGCAATTGTAACAAATCTTTCTTTGGTAAATCTTTTTTACATAGATAGATCACGGTTTGGAAGTAGGAAAATGTGCGTAGATTGTTACGCTCTATCTGTGCCAGTTCCTAGATGCGTAAACTAGCGATGAATTTATGCCATTACGAAATCAAAATTCGTCGGAGCAATTCGTAAATTTCAAAACCTTCCTTAATGTGCACTTTTGTGTAGGCACTGAAAACAGAATTACTAGAAATAACTACACGACAATCTTTGATTACACCTTTATAATTAAAAAAGACTCTACAAATTATATTTTAAGCTTTGGCTGCCCGATATTACGCTTGAAGAGTAAAAAAAGGATTTCGACGCGTTACGAGTTTTCAAATTTAGCCGACGAATGGCCGCTAAATTGTCGGCCATTTTTTAAGCCGCTCTTAATATCGCGATGGAGAGGATGTGGGTTATATTTTTTTGTATCTAATCTCCAATTGGAGAGGACGTGGGTTATATTTTTCTGTGTCTAATGGAGCAATAAACATGTTTGGCGAAATTCCACTTATGCCATTCTTCCATGAGGGGTGCGATATAATGTTTTTTTTTCCTTTTAACCGACTTGAAAAAAAGGAGGAGGTTCTCAATTCGGCTATATTATTTTTGTATGTATGTTACGCGTTTCTTTTTTATTGGGAAGGCGGTATCTCAATATAGGTCGCATTTAAATTTGAAGGAAATATTCCACCTCTAAGGGTGGCAAACTAGGGTATGAATCCGGATTCGCGCACTTTCCGGTAAGCGATTTGAATAAAACTTGGCAAATAGTTGTTTCCACGAACTTTTGAGGTTGGTTCTTTTTTATGAAAAAGTTATTTTAAGTCCTTTTTTAAGAGCGGTAGTAGGTGGGTTGTTGCCTGGTTAAAGAACAGTTGCTTCTCAATTTAAAGGTTAACTATTCGAATCCCCGTGGAGGCACTCATGACTTAAATTTCTAGTTGTTTCGTTAGTAGTTGGTTCGTTCCGTGGCTTAGTTAGTATAGCGTTTGGCACGGTCGGTTCGAATCCGACCGGATCGAAGGAATTTTTTCTGAGTGTTTTTTCTGAGTGTTCGATCTTTGTATTAATAATTATAACAAACTAGTGGAGTAATTTCACAAAAAATAATTGAATATCAATTCAATAAAAATTAAATTAAATTTCTAGGTTACTTACATTTGTGAAAGTTGAGTAGCGGTAAAAGAAGACATCGTGAAGGAACTTACGTTGTCGAATTGGGTACACAACCACTGAAAAAGTCCCCAAATTGTTATGGCCCGACTATGGCTAAAAGCTTTGATGATGACATACTTTTATCTATCTACTGTTGTTGAGCAGGGCGCGTGCGGACAGGCGATGAAGGACGTGCTGTCGTGCGTGTGGTGCTGGGCGCTGGCAGCGGCTCTGGTCACCGTGCATAGCGTCATCACCTTCACTGTTCACGATCCTGACTGCCCTGCGTAAGTATGCTTGTCTGGTCTCATCGAATCTTTAAATCTGTCTGCCGAAAAATTGGAATTCAGCAGATGTGGTTTTTAAGTTAAGAAAGCCAATTGCTCATCTTGCCTAGAGGGTCTATGAATTAAAAAAAAAATTAGGTATATACAAAAGTGTTAATAAATAAAAATAATATTAAACATCGTCTTAGTACAATATAAAAATGCAAAAGAAAATAAAGATATTTAAAAAAAAAAACATTTTTTTCAAAAAGAATTCAGCCAACTTGAAAAATCACAAATCTCACCACATTAAAAAGCGAAAAATAACAAAATACAGAAAATGACAACAATGTACGTAATACTTTTTATTTATTTTTGTCTAATTTTGTTTCGTACATTGTATTATAACTACTTTATAATCATTCCATCTACATTTGTGGTTTATTTAAATAATTACAACGTGACAATTCTTCTCCAAACCTATTAACCTATAATTTTAATAAAATATTTTTATTGGTATGAGGTACTTACGGATCGGTTTGAGATTTTATTCTACCACTAAAAAAATATTGATACTTTAATATTTACAATATCTAATCAGTTATTTTTGGAGTTGGTGCCAGCCAAGGCAAGTTTATAAACTTACTGTACAGCATTAGAATCCATAAAGCCATTTTTTTTGTTTTTCTTTCCGACACCAAAAATAAAAATCGGTGAATACACTGTACAAGCCTATAAAATTGGAGAATTTCCCTCGAGTTCCATAGGATCCCCTAATCAGATTCTAGCTTGGTGACAATGGGACTACCTCGAGAGTATACCCTTTCAAACAAAAAAATAATTTTCAAAATCGGTCCACTATTGACGGAGACATCGGTGAACATATAAACGAACTTACAAATCCTCCTTTTTTGAAGTCGGCTAAAAACAGAACATTCAAACCCCATCGAACAGTTCGTTATTGGATATCGTGCAATGACGTCCACCGATGTAACATTTTTTTTTACTGCCTCCGTGGCCGAACGGTTACCATGCTGGACTGCTTCGCAGAGGTTTCGGGTTCGATTCCCAGGCCGGGAGAAATATTTGTATGACCTATATTTATTTATCTAGTGAGTTTGGGTGGAATTTGTGGTTGTGTATATGTGTGTCCATGGCACCTGCAATACAGGGTTTTCCTAGTGCGGTGCCATGAGTGTGTAAGTTAAAAAAAAAGCATCGGGATGTCCTAGCGGTTCTCAAAACATGTTCAAGATGTGATTGGGGCTGGCGCGCAGTCGGGCCTCCAGTGAATCGCACGAGACGAGTAATGACTCTGCATTGCACACATATACACCATACGTCATACATATACAACAATACGTCATTTCAGTTCCCCTTGTTTCCACTAGAACGACTCGACAAATGATGATGGGTGCAATTAAAACCTCTACGTTTGCCAATCTACTGCGTGTTGTTAAAAAATATTATTCGGGGCAGTGAAACGTTTTCTATTATATCCGTTTTTATCGCACGTTCAACTGGTTTTGTTTTACACGTTACATAATTGTTTTAAACGATTTCTAAGAATTAATAACGCTAATTAAAATCTAAGCGGGAAAGTGGTACGTAACATAGCACAGGCGTGGTCAGTTTTTAGGGCCAACAAGCAAATGTTGCGATGCAAACGCATACTGCCACTACGTACCAAACTTGACAAGATGAAATGGAAATGGGCAGGATACATAGCAGTGCTGAATCGAGTTCAATGGACTAGGAAAATCAAGGTGTAGCGACCATGGGCCAACACGCGCGGCATAGTTAGTCCCCCACTGGATGCACGTGACACGGGAGATACATTTAGTATGTACGCGGCAAGTTTGTGGTACAAATATACTCAAAAATCGTACAATACTCTGTGAGTCCAATTTAATTAATGCATTCAGGGCAATGTTGCAGCTCCCGCGTTTTGCGCTTTGCGAACATGCCGCAGACGCACGCTCGGACGGCTTTGACGCAGTCTGGCAAAAGAAAACTGCCTCGCTGTTCAACAGAACGCGCGGGAGTTGTAACGGCATCCTGAAAGCAATGACTGATAAGCCTGATTGCCCGATGATGTGTAAACTCGCACAGAGGTCAATTTCATTGTTAGTTATTAAGTATTAATCTAGCATAAGCTCTACCAATATTAAAATGGTTCCGAAATTTTGATGTCTGAAGTAAATAAATTATTATTAATAGCAGTAGAGGTCCTTCTGAATGAGTTCGTCCAGGGACCTGCCACCTTACCTATTTCTGTATCCAAGCAGCATTACTGTGGTCCGGTTTTGAAGGGTGCTGGTGAAATTACAGGTACATGGGACTTGTCAACTTATGGCTCAGGGTGATGGACGCAGAGGTAGTGTACCTCAGATCTTTGCGATTTAAAGCTCCGAGTGGCACTGCAACTGTTATAGACAGGCGTGTAGCTTACAATCAGTTGCACGAATTGGCTCTCAGTTGATATTATTTCGATGTTCTGAAAATTTAACTCAATTTTAGTTATAGTTAGCCGGGAGCATGACGATTTGATTTGATATTATAAAAAAAAATAAACACGAGAATCTAGTATAGATATTCAATCAATAATAATAAATAGTAGCAATAAATGCACTTAGTCAAAATTATTCGGAATACAACAGAGTTGGCATAATCATGTTTCTGCATTTTTGCGTCTTTGGTGCACGAAATTATTCTATAACTTTTTTATGCTTAAATAGGAGTTATAAAATTTGACATTATACATAATTTTTATCAAGTACTTCATAACAGTTTTGTGACTTCCATGTGATACAACCACTCTTGACCACATGTGGCTTTATTATAACGGATAAAGATTAAACCGTTTAAACCATTTATTTCCACACATGACAAAGAAATAATAATTGAAAGAAATGAGAAAAAGAAAAGGGTTTTATACAAAATTAATTAATAGTAATAATTATATAAAAAGAAATACAAAATAGAAAAGAATAAAGTACATGTGTGACGGACACGAGCTCAGGAAAATGTTGAAATCAGTTTGTAATGATTTCAACCCTAATTTTAAGACCGACCCGGCCATGGCAACTCTACGTGGTCGACCACACACACAAATACCAAACAAACATCAATTGAAGACGAAATGATTGCTGAAAATATTAATAATAACAAAAAATGAGTTTATTCTACATATAGAACATCGCACTGACTGCAGTTTTTGTGCAAGATACGGTAAGATACGTTTTATTAATGATTTATGTACCTTAATAATAATTCTCGGATTCCAGTGGCTACCTGGGCCCCGGTGGCAAACATGATGAGTGGATGGCTCCAAACTGCAGTGGCGGGGCCGCCGGGTACATCGATCGCTTGCTCCTAGGCCAGTCGCATCTTTACCAGCAGAGCGACGCCAGTCGCGTCTACGGAGGAATGCCTACTGACCCTGAAGGACTATTGGGTAAAATATCTATTTATGAGTTTCACACATTTCGCACCTTTAAAAAAGGACTCCATTCGACCGTCTTTTTTTGTGTTTTACGCGATTACGCAGGCACTTGTGAACCGATTTTGATGATTCGTTTTTGTTGGAAGGAGGGTATCTCAGTATTGGTCCCATTTAAATTTGAATAAAATATTCTCCCTCTATGGGTGGAAAACTATGGGATGATAAGAGGGCCTCGTGAGAGAGTCCAGGGAAGTACTGCTACTTTGCTTATTTCTGCCGCCAAGCAGTAATGCTCATATTACTGCGTTCCGGTTACAGAGCGCAGTAGTGGCAGTGCCCCTAAGATCTTTGTGATTTGTGGCACTGCAACTGTTACGGACAAGTGTGTCGCTTACCACCAGGCTCACAACTTGTTCATCCCGTCACTTGATATCATAAAAAAAGACATAGCAAAGAATTATCTTCGTCAGGTTGCCTAACATCAGCTGTACAAGCGTTACTCGGCGTCCAGGCCGGAGCCACTGTGCTGCTGCAGCGGTCGCACAAATCGCGCGTTTCAAGATGGCTGGCCTGGGCTTTGGTCTTCGCACTTACCGGGGCACTTTTGGCCGGATTTTCGAGGGAACACGGTTCTGTACCCATTAATAAGAACCTGTGGTGAGTGTTATTAGCAATGCCTATATGTAGTCATGTCGAATTCGAAACAAAATCGCGGGGTAAGCTGTGAAATGTCCATGTGTGGTGAAACGTGCCCATTCACACAAACTCTATGCAAAAAAGAGCTGTATGGCTTCCGCCTTAAAATACAAAATATGAACTTCAATATAGAAGAGTATAGAACATGCTGCGGTGAAGATTCTAAAATCTCTCACTAGATGTCATTAGCGGCTCGGAATGCCGAAAGATCCAGTACAAATATATTTAACAAAAACACATAGGAGAATTTCGGCAACCCGATGACTTAACCCGTAGCTCAGTTGGTAAGAGCAATACTACGGTGCAGTATGGTCGTGGGTCCAAGTCCCATCGGGTCGAAAAGGTTTTTCTATGTGTTCGATATTTGTATTAACAACGACTGTATATTGGAAATCAAACTAATTTTTTTCCGGATCGTGTAATATTATAATGTTTCGGGCTTTTTACACCTGTAAAACGGCTGAATAACAAAAATACGTGACCTAAAAACTCGATATCATATTGTTAGATGTTCAATACAATTCTTCCACTTTAACGAAGTACTTTGAGATAAGACTCCATGGTCGCATTGTACTGTATAGAGATATACAAGGTGTAATCGTTAAGTGTGTGCTGGCGATTATTCCGTAAATATAAGAGATATCAAAAATCTTTAAACTAACATCGAAAGTACTTTTATTCATTAGGTAACGCAATTTCGATATCAGTTTAAAGGTTTTTGATATCTCTTGTACTTACGGAATAATTGCCTGGCCACACTTAACGATTAGAGCCTATATGCACACGACGAATTTTATACGCGCTGCATACGCGCTGTCGCGCACTTTGATAAGACATAGTTTTAATTTTCTAAACGTTTTAATTCAGTTAGTTTTTTAAATGAAGCAATTAGATGAAATTCTGTACAAACTTCAGTAAACAATGCTTAGTTTAGAAACAATATGTTCCCCGAAGATTCTAGAGACGTGCATTTTTTCGGTAAATGTAAATATTGGGTCGTCAAACACGGAATTTAAGGGTGTTAATTACTCTCGAAGTAATAAAATAAAATATCCGCATAATTAATATTCGTTCACATGATGATTGATCAAAGAAAGCGAGTGATGGGGTGCTGATCAACGACGGAGATCAACGACCTATTAAATTAAAAAGTTTTTGCCCTGAGTACCTCCCAGTACATACATTTACATCCTGTATACTGTACTTATGAAATGTATGGATGTTCTGTATTAACTTGCCAAGTATACTACAAGGCGCCTATCTTAGACCCAATTGTTTCAATATTTACAAACTTGATTTTTAATGTTACCACTTTCTTCCTCAGGTCGATGTCCTTTGTTCTGGTGACGTCAGCGTGTTCTCTGGTCATTCTGAGCCTCTGTTATACACTCACAGACGCATGGAGACTGTGGGGTGGTGGCCCGTTCAGAGCGCCAGGCCTTAACGCTATAGCTCTTTATATAGGTCATTCGGTTTGTGCTCATTTATTCCCCTTTCATTGGCGAGTACCCGAAATGAGAACCCATACAATTCACCTTGCGGAAGCGGTGTGGGGCACCGCGCTATGGGTCATTATTGCACACGTTATGGCAAAGAAGAAAGTGTTTATTACCCTTTAAAGAACATGAAGTTGTTTGTCTCATTCCGCAGGCGAAACCAATGCCGTCATTCTCCTGGCTAACAATAAGTAACATTGAGTTAAAATTTCAGAACATTGAGTTTTCGATTCTGGGTTTTATATCTTAAACAAGTAATTAGTAGAATCATCGTGTATTAAATATCTGTCTCTTTCACTCTTATGAAAAAAACTACTAATTGTGTGAACTCTATGGCAATTCAACTGAATTTATTTAAGGGAAGGTCAACAGTTTTAAAACTAAATTAAATAATAATAATATCAACTGAGAGCCAATTTGTGCGCCTGATGGTAAACGACACGCCTGTCCATAACAGTTGCAGTGCCACTCAGAGTTTTAAATCGCAAAGATCTGAGGTACACTACCTTTGCGTCCAATACCCTGAGACATAAGTTGAAAAGTCCCATGTGCCTGTGATTTCACCAGCACCTTCACCCTTCAAAATGGAACGCAGTAATGCGTACATTACTGCTTGGCGGCAGGAATAGGTAAGGTGGCAGTCCCTTGATGAACTCTTTCACAAGGAACTTTACAGCCACTGAATATATAGATACAATAAGGAATCTGGATGCACAATTTACCTTACTTGTTACAAAAAAAAAAAAAAGAAAAACCACAGCAGTTGTCTTAGTAAGAGTCAATCACTCACTCAGTTCTCTCTTTACCGAAATCACACTCGTATTAAAAAGATCCAGATCAAAAGTATTATATCAAATATTAAAATTAATGTTTGCACGCCACATAAACTCATTTTGCCTGTATAATAGTAGAAGAGCTCCATTTATTTCTGTCACCCAACAGTAATGCGCACATTACTGCATTCCTGTTTTGTTTTATTTATTTTTATTTATTTATCTTCAGGTTACAAAAGACCTATAAAACACATACCTTATAGACTAACATACATAATAATATGATAAAAACAATTTATTTATTTACACGTATGGACCGTGACGTGTGACGCAACGTGGGTCTTCGGAAACGCCGGAACATGACACCCTTCGGCCAAAAGTCCTCCTTCATGAAGGTCGACAGATGTTGTGTTGGTACTCTCACCACAAATGAATTAAAATTCACCTTGTGGCGGGACTCCAACTGCTCGACCTTCAGGGCAGTTTTCACCCGTATGTACTCCACAATATCCGCAGACTTTGTGGAGTAATGAAGTCGTGACACGTATAGCAACGTCGTCGGTACCGCTGGACGCAATTACGGCTAGTGTACTTCTTTTTCTTTTCCACCTTTTTGAAGCTGTTTTGTAAGGGAGCTGGTGAAACTAGAGTCTCATGGTACTTATTAACTTTACGAGGTGACGATCGCAGTAGCAGAGCCCCTTAGATCTTTGCGATTTGAATCTCTGAGTGGCACTGTAACCGTTGTAGGCGTGTTCGTCCCGTCTCTTCATATAATAAAAAAGCTATGTTAATATATCATTTAAGTTAACTTTTGAAAACTGCGTACATCTTCAATGTTATTTGGCGAAATTGAATTCTTACTATATTTCACGTGATATTGGCAAGGTCAGTTTAAAAATCTTAGTAAGTTAGTAACATTTGAGCCTTACACAAATCGATGAACAGCCGACACAGACTTGATTCCCGATGGTTTTGAAAGACGTTGAATAAACTTGCTTGCTTTTACTTTCAGTTATGTAAATACAATAATGAATAATGTAAGTTCACTCCATTCTCGTAAAACCATTTATTTTATTTGTTATATAGCAATAAGTAAGCATTATGTACTGAAGTCTGAAAAATACGTACTTCTTGACAACTATGCATTGACTTACAATTATATGGACGTCGGGTCCGCGCTAAAAAG